AATTTCCTCCATAAGTTACCAGGTGTGTACACACATCACCACCATCATTACATTCATCCTGACCACATCAGACAAATACTAACATCAAATTGAATTCAGGGGAGGGGTACCTTGTCACAGGTGATGCTTACTATGGCAGCTTGACAGTTGCCAAGGCAGTGATGGACCAGGGCAAGCACCACTTCCTCTTCAGCTGCAAGGCCAACTACCTGTTCAAGCAGCACACATTGCCTCATGTCAAGGTCAAGGGTGACTCAGCCTGGACATCAAGCAAGAAGCGCCTGCTTGTGTACTCCTACATTGACAAGAAGCCACTCAACATGATCACCAATGACAACAAGAGACCACTGGCAACCAGAGAATTCAAAGATGGCAGAGCTGTACCCAACATCATTGCTGGCTACTGCAGCACCCTTGGCTACATCAACCAGGTGAACGTACCGCCTGCACTATCACTTTTGCCACTGCATCTTCAAGCACACGTGAGCACAGTTCCACACCACGTTCATGATCAGTGTTGTCAACTCCTGGCTCCTCTACACGCATGTCAACAAGGACAAAAAGGGCGTCACATACTGCACTTATCTACGTCTTCTGTTGGAGGCTCTTGTGAAGGTTGGTGGACGCTTGTATCGCAAGCGCAAGCGCCAGGCTGCCGATTCTCCCTTCGAGCCATCTCCAACGCCCGCACAACTGCGTCGCCACATTGGCCCCGATGCGGCAGCGGCTGCGGCCAATGCGGCCGGTGCGGCGACGGCGGCTGGTGTGGAGACGGCGGCCAGTGCGGCGACGGAGGCCAGTGCAGCAACGGCGGCTGGTGTGGCGACGGCGGCTGGTGCGGAGACGGCGGCCAGTGCGGCGACGGGAGCCGGTGCGGTGACGGAGGCCGGTGCGGCGACGGGAGCCGGTGCGGTGACGGAGGCCGGTGCGGCGACGGGAGCCGGTGCGGTGACGGAGGCCGGTGCGGCGACGGGAGCCGGTGCGGTGACGGAGGCCGGTGCGGCGACGGGAGCCGGTGCGGCGACGGAGGGCGGTGCGGCGACGGGAGCCGGTGTGGTGACGGGGGCCAGTGCGGCGACAGCAGCCGGTGTGACGATGGCGGCCAGGAGCACGTTTCAAAATGCATTTTGTTTGGGTTTGTTTTCAGCTGACAGCAGCGGCGCATATTCATTATTAATTCGATTTATTACCGTTTTCAAAGGGATATTTCCATGAGCGTCCATGGTTGTGACGTGGCTCACCAGTGGTTGTTCAATCAAGACCAGCCACCTGCAGTTCGTGTAGAAAGCAAGCAAGGAACTCATAGACAATGCAAAGAAGAACTACTGCTGCTACTACAATTGTGAAGGCCAGCCTTGGTCTCCAACTTCTCTTCCACTCTGTAATCCTCCGACCCATGATGGATGAAAACACACAGCCAATGGCTCAAACATAATATGTGGCGTGCAGGTGATGCTGGTTTATTTGGCCTGGTCGCTCGGCACCGAGCCCCCTGTGCCCCTTGTGGTGGGGTATGTTGCAGTTTCTTTTTTTTTCTCCCTCTCTGTTTCTCTGCCCAGGTTTGACAGCACTCAATCTCTGTATTTTTTGCTCGAGCAGTATCCAGTTGTTGAGTGCAGTAATCGGGGGCCTGGGCCTGGCCATCGAGGGGCCCCTTCTTGCAGTATGCGCTGTGATGCATTCGATCTTTGCGTTTTGCATTGGGAGTATGCCTTCTTCTTCTTCTCTTTCCATTCGTCTGGTTCCTCAAGCCCCAACGCCATGGCTGCCGGCGGTGTTCGCCTTGTTAGATTGTTTTGTTGAGGTTGTTTTGCGTGCAGTGATGTGGATCCCTCTTTATGCCAATAACCAGGAGGACTGCCAACATCACGAGTGGACGCGTTGCACCGGCAAAGAGTGGTTTAAAAGTTGGCCCTTTTACTCCTTTTGGTTTGTGCAAGTACGTCACTGCCTCTTTCTCTCTCTTTCTTTTTTAAACCCTGTGTGCTTTAGAGTGCCGGGGTAGTAATCATGCCGGGAGTGGCGGCGGCTCGCGCAGGTCTCGATCGTTGCGACGGTCGTTTGCTATCTCATCTGCGTCCGCTGTGCGCCCAAAACCAAAGTCGCTCCGCCCGCCAAGCAACTCGATGTCATGCTGCAGGTCGTTGCTCATCACGCGCAGGGGCACGTCATGCTGCTCGACAAGGGCCAGGATCATTGCTGATAAATTGGATCGCATTTTGACAAGGTCGGAGACGACGACCTGAGGACACCATCGCATCGTGTGTCGCCCAGGTTTTGGCCGTTGCGAAACCCCCACCGTTTGTTGTTTTCTACAACGAAAATCAACCACCTCATCTGGATGCAATCCTATCGTATGCAGAAGATGTCCACGGACCAACAACCCCACCATTCGAGAGTTGCGCACGTCCTGGATGCAGACGTCTCCAGCGACGTGTGGGAGATGTCAGACGGTTATGGTAGAAATTCTCCGCCGTTTTGCCTCGCTCCTGTTGTCCATGGGGATGCCGTCCTGGGCCGACTCCTCCTCCTTCTCATTGGACGACGTAACGACGTTACTGTGGTACTCAGCCCACCCTCTCTTCTCTTGCACTTGCCCACGACTCGACATTTCATTTCGTACCGTGCATGTCGTGGGCCGTGGGCCGGTGTGTTGCAGGAGTGATCGGAGTCGGGATAGTAAAGGACGGAGTAGGCGGGCAAAGGCGAGGCGATGAGGCATCACCCTAAAATGGTCAATGCCTTCGACTTTTACCACTCCTCCACACGTACCCACCACGTATCTTCCTGCCCCTGGCGTGTGTCGTGTCGTGTCGAGTGCGTGTGCGATCGCGCTTGTGCCAGTGGCGTGCGTGTGGTCGTTCACACATGTGCGGTGGGAAACAGCCTATGATTTTTCATACCTATTGGATTGCAGTTGGGAGCTGAATGACGAGCTGGCGCAAGAGCCTGACCCATCTGCAGAGCTCGGTGCCAGAATGGCACGGCGGTCGGGGCGACGACCTGGCGACGGAAGGAGAATACACAAGCATGTTGTACTTACTTGTGCTGAGGAATCCTTCTCCTCTGCGACCAGATTGCGCGACCTCTTCACGCTCTACAGGGCTTCAGTTCAAGGGTACCGTGATTCCCTCCCCACGGACTCGTGTTTAAAGTGGCGATCACCGGGATGAACTGGTTCAATGCTGCCAGTGATTGGCGAGTATTCCCACCTCAATGCACTGTGAACTGGCCACGGGGGAAACAGGGGGATGGGCGCTTACGTGAGTGGTTGCATAGCCGCAGTGGACCCGTTACACACACCAGACCTCCTCTATTTTTGGTAGATCGCTACTTGCGCCAAGCCCATTCGTCGCGCAGTGGCAACCCAAATTGTGATTGGCTGTCCTTGCGCTACCTCCACCTGCCAATAGCTCGTGCCCCAGCGTCAATAAATACCACCAAGCGTTCTGGCCAGAACACTACAATTACCAACCACCACCACCACCATAAACACACACCTAAAAGCAAGCACCCTAACAAGATGCAGCGCGCAAGCACCCTAGCCCTCATCTGTCTCCTGTTCGTCTGCCTCGAGGCAGCCCAAGCGTTGGCAACCCCGCCTATCAAGTGCGTCAAGTGGTACAACTCGCCGAACCAACCGCCCGCCACCGGCACCTGGTCCTACCAAGCCAAGGTGTCGCCGCTGTGCCGGGAGGTGGTGTACGGAGGTGCGCGTGGCTGG